TACAAAATCTAATTTATAAATTCTATATAATAAAATTACCAAAAAAAAAATTAAAAAATTTACTTAGGTAGCCAAGTAATTATTTTTATCGCAAATACAATTAATAAATATGAAAAAAAAAATTACTATGTGTGCGCTAATTAAATTATTATTCAAAAAATCGAACAATATGACCGGGAAAGAAAATATTTTTATGACGTTATTTTTTTTGTATTGATTGAAAAATTAAAAAAAAAATGGCTGTTTGTGTTGTTTTTGATATTAAATTCACCTTCATTTTGTATTCCCAATGCGTCTAAAATCTTTTATTTATTAACGGTTATTGAATATTCTAATATAAATTATAGATATTATTTGAATGTGTGTGACTGAATAGAGAAAAAACTGCAATATCGAATTGAATACATAATTATAGATGGAGGTGTTACTCTCTATGTGTAACAATATAATTTTTATGATTCTATTGAAAACTTTGAAATTTTAATAATGAAGTGCAGAAGTTGGACTCGTGATTGAATTCTTAATTGAATTGAGTTTGGCAACTTTACAATGACTCTTTATGATATATTCATTTATTTCTCCTGTTTGTTGGAAACATTTAATTCTATATCTCGTAATGTCAAAATTTTTTAGTAAATAGTAATATCATTGTAATAAATAAAGTTGGTTCAAACCAATGGTTTGTATTGTAGCACTTTTCCCTTCAACAAGGGAAAATTCTGCTTTTAAATACAGTCTATGTATACCTATCAAACTATTAAAATTATTTTCATTCATATACAAAACTATTTCTAGAATTGCATATATTTAGGATGACGCATATATGAAATGTTTGAAATAAAGCAAAAATTAATATAAAATGGGGTTAACATAATGCTCGATTTTAAGGGTTAATTGTGTGAGTTAAGAAAAATAATTATATTTTTTAATTTCATGGAATTTACCGTTAGCTTTTTGCGTTTAAAAAAATTTAGAAAAGCTTGCGGTTTCGGAAATATAAGGAGTTAAAAATTCAAATTTTACGAATTTCAAGAGGTGATAACTTGAGAGGGGGTGGAGATGGAAAAAAATTTTCTTCTAACGAAATGAACTATTTATTAATGTCTAAAAGCTCGTAAAATTTCAAGCTTCTACAGGCTGGGGTTTAGTAAAAAATGACATCAAAAATTTGGAAAAAAAGGCCTTTAGATAACGGTAAATTTGAACGGCCATTTTGTTTTTCTAAAGTTTAACTATAGTATATCGCGCTAGGGGAAGCAAGCTACTGCCTTTCTGCGTTTGCAAAATTTCAAAAATGCTTATGGTTTCATTGCAACAAATATTTAAAAAAGGCCATTTTTAGGGTTTTGGGGGAGTATAACTTCTAGAGGGGGGGAGATAGGTAAAAATTTTGTTCTACGGAAATAAGTTTCTAGTGAAGATCTATGTACGTATGAAATTTCAGCTTTCTATCTTAAAGGCTGTAGAAGTTTTGTAAACAAAAAAAGTGTCCACGGACGGACGGACGGACGGACGGACAGACGGACGGACGGACAGAGTGAAACTAATAAGCACTTTTTTCAAAAAATTTTTTGGAAAAGTGCTAAAAACCAGCTTACCGCTCCGCAATAATTTTGTAATTAGCTATACATATCAATTAATATGATAACTTTTGGAAGGCGTTAATTAGCTTCATTCTGGTTTCGTTCTGGCTTTAGTTAAATTGAAAATATATCTGAAGCTTCGTAAATGATCGTTGTCTCACTGGAGGGAGGAACCTATAACACATTCTAAGGCATCTGTCAATGTGTTAACACTCGTGAATGTTTTCTCTCCTCTTACAAAGTGCCAAATAGCTACAAATGTAATTGTTCTAAAGTATGAACTCATGCGGCAGCCGAATGGACAGTTACAAAACACAATTCCATCCAAAATGTGCCTGTGAAAGAGATGACTGTGCATAAAAGTCTGATTGATAGGGTTATTCTTATATCCTTTCGGAGAGTATAATTCGCGCTGTTCAAAATCCATTTTATGTTTCGAGGTGATGTCAGCTATCATTTTGCATAATTCTGTTCCTCAATTTATAAGTTCATGTACGTTCTTATTTTCGTTCAAATTGCAAAATTTCTTCTAACAAAGGCTATTTTACCCCGAATTCAATATTTATATGGAGAATTTAAGCAATCGGATGGTAACCCCTAAATTTCTTTGCATACAAATTTGAAAATTTTGCATATACTTACCCACTTAATGTGTATATTATACAATAATTAGTCATTTTGTATAATAATTGTCAAATACAATTTACAATTTGTACTTTTTCTCATTCATAATTGAATTTTTGACTGCCTAAGAGAGCTTGAAAAAACAAATTGTACTTTTTCATTTTTTTTTTTTTGTTTTAATGTTTGTTTTTGTTTTATTTTATGATTTTATTACCATAACTTTCAGTCGAGTATAAATTGTATATTTTCACGCAATTTAGTTATTAGCACTTTTTTGGCACTTAAGCCTATCTGATCCATAAATATGTACTTAAGTAAACACACGTACTCATACCTAAAAATAACAAAAAAAAAAAAAATTTGTAGGCATGAAAAGAAAAATTAATTTAATTGACACTCTAGAGGCGATGTTATAGCCTTAATATTTTCTATATATTACAAGTATATAAGCTTAATTTTGTCGCGAAAAATAAAATAATTATTCAAGTACTTTAAATATTATTATGTATGGGTATGTAGACTATAAGTAATGAGTTTGAATAATATTAAAGTAAAATTTTCATACGTACCTACCAGCGTTACAGTTCTGTTTTTTTTTGTTCTATTTTCTTTCATCATTTTGTGCGAGCATTCCTTGTTCCATAATATTATTCCAGTGTCTCTCAACAATAAAGTAAATTCAAGAAACAAAATATTGTTAAGCTGACCGGGGCCTTGCCAGGATCACCGAGAATTTTTTAACGACAATTTTTATAAGCCGCTTTTAAAAGACTTTTTCGGGGTTAATTTGAAATTCTTCTGGAAACAAAATTTGTGGATGTAGGAGAGATGTTTTCAACGGTACACACACTGCACGGTGCTATAGGTGGCAACATCTGATTTTCGTACAAAATTGTTTCGTAAGAGAAAAATGTGCCAAACGTGCTAATATCAGTATTTGCCATTGTCCTTCCCATCAGTTTAAATCAGTTTCAATTGTAGGTTTTTTTTCCAAGTTTTTAATATCTACTTTTAGAACACGCGTACTCTTTGTGCATTCACACTGCCGTACCATCACTAATTGTTTCACTACCATCACTAATTTACTTGAAAATGTTTAAAGTCACTGCCATACTTATTTAATCTTATTCAAAGCTTTTTTTTCTTTCTAATTTATTTTATTATTTTTATGTAAATAAACAAAAATTTGAATTGGAATTTATGTCGCGACAACATTCAATGACCCTATCCTATCATATACCATATAATAACGCAACTATAAGAAATTATTTATAGGCATATAAATTCTTATATTTGTAGTTATGTGCGAATATGTTCACTTATAGAATATTATTTCTACCTATATTTTATAGTATATCCTTTGATTTATGTTAAGAGTATATATAAAATATAAAATAATCATAAAGGTGATTTTGTACGAGCATAGGAAAAAATAAAAAAAAAATTTAAAAGCACCATATAGTGATGGAAAGCGTATAATGTAAATCATAGCACCTGAAAGTGGGTGAAAACATGTAAAAATTTAAATAGAAAAATTTGTCAAAAATTTCTGAATCTTATACTTGTACATTTACATTATTTAAGTATACACCAGTCTTAATATGATGAAAATTATATTTCTCTTTTAATTAAGTGGTGCGATGATGAAAATTTTTTAATAAAATCTTGTTTCCTTAGCAAATGTTGATCTCTTTACTGAATATTATACATATGTATGTGAATTTAATAGAATTAAATTACAAATTTTATTCATTTAAATAATTTGTTTGAAAAATTTAATATTTTCAAGTATAGAAGATATCCTTAATTATATTATGAAATTTTGTATATTTTGATGAAAATTTGTTTTAAGATACCCACTTAATATTCCCTAAATTGAATTCAGGGAAATTCGTCTAATGTAAAATATGTAATTTGGTATATAAATATCTGATTTTTAATTTTCTAATAACTCGACTGTTGCAATTAATGCAAGCTATAGTTTTCTGAAATTACCTTAAACTAGAAGATTACCTTAAACTAGTACAATTGTTCAATATCACAAGTATTTGTTGCAATTTTGCAGTTTATATACTTGCATTTGCGATGCCACTATATTAAAACCACTGATTTTTAATTATTCTTAATCATTTATCATTTTACCATTCTACAACAGAAAATTTACAATATTTATTTACCAAGACGCAAATTTTACACAGAAATCTGTTGCAATCGGCAAATTTAACACAGAGAAGTTTAATGTTTATAAAATTTATTGGATCAACTCTTATTAACATACAAGTTCTTTCTATTTGTAATTAAAATTTCAATCTTATTTCACTCTAGTTATATATCATGCATCCTTACGGTTAAAAAGAAAGAATGGCTTCTGCAATAACAACCTCAAAATTTTGTTTTGTTTAATTTGCAGTCGTTTCAAGTGTGTTTTAGCACATATACTCCAGATAATAAAATATAATTTTCTGAAAAACAATCTTGTAAAGCAAAATTTTATTCTCATTTAAGAGTATTGATTTCCTGTTCATCAAAAATTACAATATTTTTAATTCGGTTGCATTTTCATTTCGTTATCACTCCAATATTGATTTTTATCATAAAATCTGTCGATTTTGTTCCTAGTACACATACATATATCGATCACAACAGGATTGGGACGATTTTAATATATGGTAGCATTAAAATTTAAATTTTACATTTATTTTAAATAACATTGTATTTATGTTTTACTCTAAATTTTCTAAAATATCAACTTACTAAAAAAAATATTTTCTTTTTATTTTATTACATTTTTAGGTCGACAAGATCATCATGGTGATCAATCTCCAGAAATTGTAAGACGTTATGATATAGATGTTGAATCATTACCAAGTTATACATTGGTATCTGGTTTACCAACATATGATGATGCTTTAGAACAGTTCCGAAAACCTGGAATTATTATAACAACACCAAATATTATGAAAATATTTGAAAATTATAAACCATCGGCTGAATCGAATCAAACAACTAATACAGAAAATATTCAATCATCAAAAATTAATTCTGAATTAGAATCACCAGAGTCTGCAACTAATCTACCAAATCAAAATTCTACAAATGAAAATTCATCAACATTACCATCATCATCAACATCATCTTCTTCACCATCATTATCATTATCACATACAAATATACCAACAATTATGATAACACCAAATATTATTGAATCTTCATCATCATCAAATTGTAATAATTTAATTGGTGGTGGTAATAATGTTACACAAATTATAGAATTGGGACCAGATCAATTAAATTTATTAAGTAAAAAACGATTATCAGTTCAAATTGCATTCAATTCACATCCAATTAGTCGAAGTCAAAATAATTTAACACATTTAAAAAATTCAATTAATGGTAAATTAAATATTCTTACCAATAATAATAATAATGATTTACCATTATTACATGGACGTACACCAAGTTTATCGGTACGTCATTTAACAGATCGTAGATTAAGTGATTCTGTAAGAAATTCATTATATATTAAAAATTCTAAAAGAAATGTGCAACATAGGGGTAGTTTAGGTTAAAATTATTTTGTATAAGGAAGATCGATATTTTCCTTAATATATATATATTTTTTTTTGCTCCTAAATATTATAAAAATTAGAAATTAGTATTATAAAATTTTTATAAAAAGAATAAAAAAACAAAATGAAATTAATATCAAATTTGAGTCAGTATTGTTTTATTAAATTTATTAACTAACAAGAAACTAAAAACGAATATTTTAATTGAATGTTAAATTTTAAAAAATAAAATTTTTATTGTAACATTAAAATTTAAAATTAGAAAACAAAGGATGTGAAAAACGTGAATATTTTTTATTTTTAATATTTTTTTATTATTTACTGATATTGAAAACGTTATGTAAGCATGCGAATATCAAACTTATGTTAACATTTTATATTTAGATCGTATAAAAATTAAGGAAACATAAAAAAAAGACAATGTTATTTTTTATTTTAAACACTAAAGAATATTTTAAATAAAGTTTTTTTTTTTTTAATTTTACTTTACAAAAACAAAATTACTCTTATTTAGTTATATAATATTAAAATTGTAAATATTATAGTTGTTTATGCTTAACTAGTTAAGTATAAGCTTAATAATTAAGTTATTAGATCCACGTTGATTACCATGAATTAGGTCTAAATGTACCTTTCAGTATTTTACAACAAATGAGAATTTTCAACTCTATTGAAATTTTTATCAAGTTAATTTATAATATTTTTGGTTCTCTTGAAAACGCAGTTCTTCAACGCTTTTAAAACTTGTGCCTTCACCTGACACTTATGGCTGACTAGTTACAGTGCGTTATAATTTTACATTTTGATTCATCGCATACATCGCATTTTTAATTTTCTGATTGCAATAGCTTAATTATCAACAAAATAGTTTTTCTTTGTTTTCAAACTTTTATCTACTTTTATTCAAAAAAGTCTTTTAGCTTTAAAATAGAAACGCGTACGTATACTGACTTCACTACCAAAACTCCGTTTGGATAATTTCTGAAGTTTTCTTATAAATTTCAAAATTAAGAACTTAGTAAATTTAATTTTTAAATAAGATTATAAATATTAAGGATTTTTTTACTTTTTTTTCCATTTTCCTAAAACGAAATAGTCCATTCTCCTACATCATTTCGAATACAGTAAAGGCTTTCTAAAATTTCAAACATAACTCCATTTTAGAAACCAAAACTTCATATTTCATTTTATTACACAATATTATGAACTTAAAGAAATATGAAAATTTTGAATTTTCATCACAATATCACATACATAATTTAATAAACATATCCTTTAACTTTTTCTATCCTGAATAATAATACTCCAAAGACCTAGTTACCTACAAACAAATAACTACCAAAACAAAAAACAAATAAAAAATTTTTCAAATTAATATTTGTATAAAAAAAAAAATAAATATTTTTAAAAACTAAGTAGTAAGTAAGGTACGTACCTATTTTACATATTGTATAACTTGATTTTGTTTCTGTATTGTATATTTATGTACACACATTTGCCTAGTATGAAAAATCTACTCTACACATTATACATATATATTAAAGTTTATTAAAACGAATGAAAAAGGATATTATCACATTAGTATATAAAACACCTGAGTTATTACATAGGGAGGATACTTTTTAATGTATAAAAAGTATAAAAATAAATAAATTACTTTATATATCCTTATCATTTGAATAAAATCTATTTTTATGAGTTTAAGTAGCTCAAGTAGCTTAATATACCCCAAACTAACAAAAAAAAAAGAAAAGACTACATACACAAAATAAATTATATAAAATAAACAAAACTAAAATTTTTTTGTATATAATGTATGTGTATATAGTTTTGTTTTATGAAATTCATAACATAGTGAGTTAATTTTGATTAGAGCTATCATATAGATCTAGTACATGTATACATGTATAGCTATTTTAGGTTTTATAAAATAATTTTCGTTTTTTGTTTAATCGTTGAAGAAAAGTAGTTATAGGGCTGATAAATATGTGGTCCGATTTATGATATGTATGCGAATATAGTCTCGTCTTGTTTAGTCTTATGCTGACACTGAGATTGTGAGGTTGAGGCCGGAATTCACTAATGAACTGCTGTTCCTGTAAGTTTGCAAATATCTAAAAATTTTATTTGAATGTAGATAAAAATTGTTATGCTAGATCGAAAAATAACTCTCTTTACTTAAATTTGATTAAGTTTTCATTAAAATTCAAGTTAAAATCCGAAGGTAAATTTAGTGACAAGCAAACATTTTAAATATTTTATAATAATTTAAGCAGTCTTATTAAGCATTTCAGTCATAAGGTGAGGAAAATTATGAATTTAGAATTTATATTTTCTTAATCCAATAAGTAGTCTTTCTAATACAAATTTGTATACAAAATTTTTTTCAGAATCTTATGACAGAATCTTAAACGGCTGTTACTTGGAATGTGTATTTCTGCTGTATTTCTCTAGAAGTTATTTATGTCAATAATTACTATGGTATTGTTGCGATAACCGTGCTGCATATAAGTTTTTCAAATATTGACTAAACTTATCACTTTCTCAGATTTCAAAGAAATTTGCTTGAGTCGGTTAGCAAAACAGGAAGTACACGTATGACAAAGGCCTAGATTCAATACTAGGTACAAGTTAAATTTTAACATTACAGCTGTTGTTGCTTAAATTCTGACTTTTGCCGGACAACACAAGAAGGGAAATCGTCGGATATGTTTTAACAAAAATATTGACAATTACTATAAAATAATCACACATAATATTTTGAGTCACATTCAAAATAAAGATTAACAATTTCTGGAAAAAAAAAATAATAATTTTAATCCTGTTGGATGAAAATTACCTGAGTATAATGGCACGCAAAATAAAAATATTTCATAGAATAATTTTTTTTTTTAATATTAAAATTTGCATAAAACTTGTATATTTTTTTTTCTTTCTTTCTTTACTTCTTTTCGTTTTGGTTTGAAAAATGAGTAAATTGGTCATAAAGATTAATATAAAGTGTTAGCATACAGGTGTATATTGCACACCTTTTTACATACAAAATAATACATTCATAACAGAATATTTATTAGTGTAAAGAAAATACACAAAATTACAATTGAATTCTCACTGTTTGTGACTGTTTTTCTGTGTAATTTAAATGAATTTAATAAAAATAGAATTAAAAGATTAATTTTGTATTCAAATGTTCAATTCATTAAATTTAATTTGTTTTGTAAAGCCTCTTCAAAGTGTTATATTTGCATGTGTGTGTGTGTCTTATATACATTTTTCATTTAGTAGAGGAGTTCATATTATTTAATGATGAAGTTTATGTAGTTAGTTATTAAGGTTAATTACTACTTAGGATTAAAACTCTTTGATAAAATATTATTGTATAAAATGATGGTACTTTTTAAACTCTTTTTTTTTTAATACGCGCTTTATTCTTTGCGGTTTCAAAAGCAAGAACAATTTGTTGAATACTAGTAGAGTATATCCATTCTTTATATAGTTATTCTGAAAATTCATTATAGGTTAATGAGATATTATAAATCTCTGGTGTATATGCTATACCATTGTGGCATCAACATAATGTTGGACTTTATTTATTTTGTTGTTACTGTTTGATGAAAGGAAATTGTTATTCTTGTTAGGTTAATGTTATAAATGTGGCCACTGTTTTTATAATCTAAATAATCTTTAATACAAAAACTAAATAATCTAACGTATATATTAGACTTTTAATATTACAGGTTGTATAAGTGTATAAGATAAGCGACAACAGGTGCATACTATTGAATACTGGAGTTATACATAAGTACTGAGTGAAATCAATTCCAGAACAAATAACACAAATGACAGCTAGGTAGAAACGAAAGTAGTTCCAAAATCAAGTTGCTAAAATCAAATTGTGTAACCAATAAAACATCTCAAATAATGAATGGATTTCTGATGAAATAGAAGAAATAATGGATGAACGAAAGGTGGATATATAGAAATATAAATCCGGTAAAATACAAACAGTTAAAGAGAACTATCCATTAGCGTTATCAACAGTGTCAGGAAATAGAAAGATTGCAATAAGTCTACGACCGGTGTTTACAAGAAAAAAGCAAGTCTGCGAAGAATATATAAAAGATCTTTTTCAGACAGTAGTAGATCCGACTTTGATTGAGTTAGCAAGAACACATCTAACATGTCAACCAATCACACAAACTAATCAAACAAATATGTGACACTGGAGAATAAAATTCCTTATGGATAAACGGGGTGTCCAACGGAAAAGTGCTGATATGAATTGACAAAAAACAAGAGCTACTTACCACCATTAAAGACATGCTTCGGACATGTTATGAGACTCTCGAAATATCGTCTATTACAACTTCTGAAGGGCAAAATAATTAAGGAACATTGAAATTGAACCGCCTCGAGGGGCTTATTAGTTCTAAAGGAACCTTCTAGAGACCAATTAATTTATAATGTCGACAAAATGTCAACTAAATAAATGCGTGTGAGAAGATCGTCAATATTCGAAAACTAAGAGGCAGGAGAAGAAGAAGATATTGAAATAAAATTCAAATTTCAATTGAAATGAAATTGTGACAGAAATTGCATAGGCTGAATTTATTTATGGGATCTATTTGGTTTACTAAAAACTATTACATTTAATTTCGCTTTACTGCCACGTATAGGTAATAGCGGTTTCGGATTCTAAATTTTTTGACTAAAAAACAATTATTATTGATTTTAGCCTTTTAACACAAAAGTTGTCGTTTCAAAAGCAAAATCTTAAAAATTCATCAAGGAATGAATACTAATTTTTGCTGGCTGATGCGTACTCACGATGAAATAGCAATTTATGGCTCTCCGGATTTTCTCGAATAATAAGGAAAACCAGCTTAGATTTGCTTTAGTATATTAAAGTTAAATACATAACCATTAGCGCAAAATAAAGAAATTTTAAGTGCTTGCCCCGGAAGTTATGCAATTTTTCTCAAATTTTATAACAAAAGCTTATTTTTAAAATATTCAAATGAATAACTAGTTAGCTAGCCTTTTTGTTTAAAATTTCATTGAAATTCTTACATAAATAAAATTATTAAAGAAAAATAATCCTAATATTATTTTGTATGCCAAATTTAAATAAAAAACAATAAGCTTATTTAATTTAAAACAAAAAAAAAATAAATTGTCAAATTATAATTGTCAACAAATTTTTACTATTTATGATTATTATTTGATAAGTAAAATACTCTACAGTTTATGTTTTGACAATAAGACTACATTATATTTAAAATCTAAAATATTATTGTAATAAATTTTATCGGTTTAATTTTTGGCAAAATTCCTACATATAATTTTCTAATATATTTTTTATAATGGTATTGAAAGCATATTTGCAAAATATTTGGAAAATTTTCAATATTTTTAAAGAAATTATA